TCCTATAAAAATTGTGAGACTTCATTCTTTATCTATGCTATTCTCGTCTGGAATTTCAGCAAACACACATAACAGAGCAATCCTATTTCAAAATCCAGACCTGAACATCTGAATTTTTGAAATACGAGTAACAAATCCTCCTGTTTCCGAGCCAGGTCCCCTTGCAAAATCCTCCACGAAGACATCCCTCTCGTTAGGCAGATAGCCTTCATGTGGTTTGCCGTAACCAAGTTACCTAATATTTCCCGAAATTGCATAAAATCGCATATATTGTCCATCATTGGTATAAACAGTTTCGATGACGAAAGATTTTTTTTCTTAAATATGCTGCTCAGTTTTAAAAAAGAACTATGTGTAAGTACAGTAAATATATAAAAATACCATCCAGGTTAATAGTAATTTTGACTGGAGCCGCGGTGTTGAATACGCTTCTGAAATTTGATTAATTGATGAATATCGTTTTTATCAAAAAAATATTATTAGTTTTTTTTTAAAACCAGATAGGTTTAGAACACCAAATAATAAACTAGTGTAAACGCAACGTATTAATTTTATTTAAAATGTATTTTCCCGATTGGCAACAACAGTTTTTTTCAGAACGATAATATTTTTTGAACTGTAAGTTTTTGAGCAGTAATGTTGACGGTAATGTTTCTGAATAAAGCAAGTATTTAACAATTAATGTTTGACGGAATGTGTTTTTAATAAAGGAACTAATTAAATGCTAACACTAGTAAACCAGAAACCAGATAGTAAACCAAAAAACATTTAAAACCAATTGTGCCATTGTCGGGATTTGAACCACCGATCATCAAATTTCACAGCTGTACATATTTACCACTTACACTACAAGACCAAGTACGTTAGAATGGGAAAATTATCCCCTACTTAAAGAGCGACTGGGAGATGCCTATATCCAGTCTACCAAATCAACATACTCACGAATCATCAATCATCACATTTTACATTGGACATCATGTAGGGACCAGTAAGTTTCTGGAATCTACAAAAATGTAAAATCCACTTTGCTCTAGGCTTAATTCGAGCATCAGATCTTCCAATTGAATTAGCCGATGTATTATTCCTTTTACCACCAAGCATGCTCAGTGGGTATGCGCTAATTCTTTGGACTTAGAATTTGCGTTATTCAATGTTTTGTTATTATGGCTATTTGAAAAAAGCGCATGCGATTAGATTAGAAACACTTCAAATATTTCGCAGTTTGCTCCTACAAAGAGAGGCAAATTGGAAAATAATTAAAGTGTTTCTAATAGCGTATTCTTTTTTGAAATAGCTATAATGAGACATAAAGGAAAAAAAGAAGAAGTTTTTAGAGTATAAGTACTCATATTGATAAATTAAAATGCATTTTGCTATCACTACTACAAATCTTAAATTTAAAGGAAAATTCAATCTCTGTCGCAAGTTCTGCTATGAATTTATTCTGCTAAATTTTAATTTATTTACAGTCTTAGACAAAAAAACGACGCACCGAGAAGAAAGCAAATTGGACATAAATTGATATGCATACAGGTTTCGACGGAAAATGCAAAATTTTACATTTTGGCTGCCAATAAATGAACGGTGGTCGCTACAGCACATCTGATCTGCGCAACTGGCAGGATATTTAAGAGGAGAAATAAAGATTCCAGATCATAAATTCTTCACGAATTTCATTCCGTGTACTCTGGTAGACAGTAACTATGCCTCGCATACAGGTGCGCGAACGATATGCGCAAATGTCAGAATTTGAGAGAGGTCGTGTACTTGGGCTCAAAGAAGCCGGTTGGTCTTATCGGCGAATAGCTCGACATTTAAGCAGGAGCGATGCCACTATTAGACGATGTTGGCAGGAATGGGTGAACCATGGCCGCACACAGCGTCAAGAAGGAAGCGGTAGGACTAGAGAAACGACAGAACGTGAAGACCGAGCAATCGTCAGAGCGGCAATCACAGCCCCAGATGCATCATTATCATCTCTTGTGTGCAACTAGTGCTTCAGTGACCGCAAGGACCGTTCATAGACGGCTCACAGAAAGGGGGCTGAGGTCACGGCGCCGCTAGCGCGGACTACCATTGACCTCTGTACAACGTCAAGCCCGTTTGCAGTGGTGTCGGGCTCATTCGCACTGGAATGTCACTGACTGGAATAGAATAGTCTTCAGTGATAAGTCCCGCTTTGAAATGAGCCCCGATGACCAGCAAGGCGAGTCTGGAGACGCCCCGGACAGCGGTGTGATACCAACCTGACTGTCTTCCGGCAGATAGGCCGACAACTAGGAGTGTTGGTCTGGGGTGCCATTTCATTTCATAATAAATAATATTAGTAATTTTATTAAAAATATAATACTTCATAGTAGGAACCCTTTGGTGTTCATCCGTCGAAACCTTACAGCACAGCAGTATGTCGACGAAGTACTAATGCCTGTTGTATTGCCCTTCATGTCACGCCACCCTGAGCTTACATTTCAGGAAGATAATGCCGCCTCCACACTGCACATGTTTCTACTGCTTGCCTTAGTGCTTGCCGAACATTACCTTGGTCAGCAAGTTCGTCGGATCTCTCTCCTATTGAGCGCGTTTGGAGCATTATGGGCAGGGCCCTCCAACCAGCTAGGTATGTTGACGATCTAACGCGCCAGTTGGACAGAATTTGGCACGATATCCCTCAGGACGACATCCGCAACCTCTATCAATCGATGCCAAGCCGAATAACTTCTTGCATAAGGGCCAGAGGTGGACAAACGCGTTACTGACGTTTTCACTTTGTGAAGCTCTATCACTTCAATAAATTATCCAATTTTTCTCAAACTGTTATCATTTGGTTTTCTGTACATGTACGTCACTTCTACCAATTTTCGTCCCATTCGGATAACTCCTTCTTCGTGCGTCGTTTTTTTTTTTTTTTTTTTTTTTTTTTTTTTTTTTTTTTTTTTTTTTAGCATATTATGTTAAGCAATGAATGTAAAATTTAAATTATATCCCGTTTTTACATGAATGATACGATAAAACATAATATTTTTCACTATATTATATTTTACCAAACTTTTTTTCTATTAAACTATATAAAAGTCGAACATTTTATGATAAGCACTGGAATATAAAGTTTAAAAATAATATATTTCATTAAAACATAATTTAAGATTATCAATGCAAGAGCGTTGAAGAAACATTTTCCCGGAAATATTGAAAAAACTTATTTGATCCATAACAAAAATTTAAGCCGGTTTTCGGAAACTAAACCAGTATATTATTATTTACAGTAAAAAAAAAAATTAAATAGCATTTTTTGATTTTTTTGCTATAATAACAATTACTCAGCCACTTTACTAGTATGATTTACTCGTTATAAACAAAACACATTAATTTTTCTGCCCAATAGTTTATTTCGGTAAAAAATTTTTATTGTAATAAAAAATAGATAAATCTACTGCCATCCTCAAGAGCGAGCAAAAGGATACGTCGCCTCACCCCATAAATGAGTAAAAAATGTGCATTTGTACATATACAATATGTATGTGAGATTTTGTATTGATGTTATCCTGTATTCTATAATCCCCTCATAAACTCTTCCAAAGTTAAAGTACTTAAATAAAGATTTATTTATGTGATTAATTGTTTTCTAACTTTATTTTTTCCTATTTATATATATATATAAGCGAAATACCACTGACTCACCACCAGATCTCCGAAACTATACATATAACTATTGCGCAGTTACTCATTCCACGATGTAGAGACGCGCACTAAAAACGGATTTTACTTAAATCCTGTCCAAAATGGATCTTTGTTATACAAGAGGACTTTCTCATACATTTGGTTTTCAAATTCAAGTTCAGAATTTTCTTTTATTGTTGCAACAACTAGATATAAAATACAATTTTGCCAATGAATGCATTTTCGTTTAAAATTATTAAATTGGTAAATAACTTGCATCTATCCAATGAATACAAACAACATTTAAATGATAAGGTTAATAATAACATTTATATTTAACTGTCATCATAAGTTTCATGAAAATAAATGTTATTTATTAAGAGAAATAAATTATTGTGATGAAAAATAAAAATGTTGTTTTTATTTATAAAAAATGCCATACATATAAAATCAAGGACAAATAATTAAAATTAACTAAATTTTATAACAAAGATAATAAAATTTATTACATTAATCATCATTTCGAAGCTAGCCATTTTGTCCATATAAGAAGTCTAGGTTCACATTTAAATAGATAATGTGCCCAGCAGAGCGGACGATTATCAACTAGTCTTTTTATAAAAGCATACTTTTCTGCACCTTTCTGTCTTCCTTTAAAAGCTTATGTTAAAGAAAGCCATTATTTATAGTTTCGGCATAATGCATATAAAATTGTTAACATTATTTAAAAAAATTCTAAATATCCGATCACTAAGAGATAATGTACATATTGATTTAATGGAAAGCAAACCAAATATCAGCATAATCTAACAAACATACCAGAATTAGTGGGAAGAGGAAAAATAAAATCTACCTTCTAGAATTCATTTCATAAATGTAATAGAATTACGTTTTTATGCAAAAATTTTCAAATCAACATGACAAATGTGATTCAGAATACCTAGTTTTCTATTCCGCGAACTATTAAATGGTTGGTAAGAAATTCCATGCAATAAAACTTTACGAAATATAGCTTTTTCTTTTTTAACTATCAAAGATTTACTCAGGCATAGAAGACGCTTTTGTAGAGAAGAATGTGGATGGAAAGTTACAGTTACCGGTTTGATGCACGCGGGAAACCATCAAAGCAGACGCGCCTTTTTCTCATACAAATAACTCCGCATTCATGTGAAAATTTACATTTTCTTCTAGTAAATGGCTCTGATTTCGTTAATTTAATGCATTTAAGTAGATATACATGACTGAATTCCTTTGAACGAGACATATTTGCCGAATTTTTCAACACCATTTAATGGTATAAAAGCTAACCCACATCTATGATGTTCATCGTATCCTACCAAGCTGTAGCACGACTTCCTTGGGTTAGCAGCTGCCAAGTTAAAGATGTCCATTTTTGCTGTAACAGTTTTTCTTCTTGCCATATCCAGCTTAGGATATTCGGGTCCAGCGTTTCCTGTAGCAAGCCCATTTAATGTTATCCAAGTCTTCCCCAAGCCATATGAATTCGGATATGAATTTGGAGATGGACTGGGAATGAGCCAACATCGCCGTGAAGTATCTGATGGAAACGGAATCGTCAAAGGAAGGTATGGATATCTAGATCCCTTAGGAGTGTACAGAAATGTCGAATACACGGCAGATGCTGATGGATACAAAGCTGTCGTTCGCAGCAACGAGCCTGGTTCTGCCAACCAAAACACCGGAGATGCTGTATATGTGGTACAACTTCCTCCACCAGCTGCCGTTGCCCAAGGATTAAGAGCCGGACTTCCTCGTCTGTCAGTTTGAATTGCTTTTGTAATTGTTAAAGGTCTGTTTCATAAATCAATATAACAATATCAGTGTGTTCTTGTAATTCTTCATCATTGCCTTTGCAGAATTGCTTTTAGATTCGTAATTTATTATTTCCTCTTTAGTACATGCCATAAATATTTAAAAATATTCCAGAAAAACGTTAAAAAAGTGAATTATTAATGCAACAGAATATTTTTTTCTTGACATAAAATCAAGAGGAGTGGAGTATAAGCTCACTTAAAGACTAAAGACAGTCTGAAATGAGTAGCTAAAATATAATGTACCTTTAAACGGGCCCAATTCTTAGAAATTTAAAAAATAATAAGCAGAAATGACAACAAATAACAGTCAAGTTGGAAATAAGTAACATACTGCAAAATTATCTAGATTATTTAATATTTCCGCTTTCAGGGTACAGTTATTTCCAAAACTTCATTAAACAGAAATTGCTCTAAATGCACGTTTTGTTTGTTATTTTATTATTTGGAAGTATTATTTATTTTAAAAATTGCAGAAGTAATTTTAAAATTATTGATACAAATATAAAAGCAGATCTGGATATTTTATCAGAATCACGACTGTTAATTGTTCTTGTTAAAGGAGAGATAAAGGGGAAAATTATTCGTCCAGATTCCGTTTATTTCTCTTTCTTCTCAATTAGTTATACAATTCTCTCAAAGTGAGAAGAACATCATTTTCAGCAAAATAAAACTGAAAATAAAATGAAATTCTAACAAATAAATAAAACGCGTGATGTAAAACTTAGATTCCAACTTCTAAAAATATTCAATTTGATATCTTTATTAATGAATTTCTTTCTATTTCTCTTCAAAAAGAATCAATTTTACCACATTTTTCAATGTAATTTATGTCTAGTAAACTGGTTTCTTACAAAGACATCCTAGCTAATCATTATTTTTCTTATGACTTTTAAACATGAAAAATTACATTAATGGAATTATGAAGCAAACTAATGTTCATAAAATCTTATAAAAGAGAATTAATATTAAGATCTCTGCCAATATCTCAAATTACATCAATCAAAAAGTACAGCTTCGTTTTATTCAATGAAAAACATCTGAAAGATTTCAGGTTTTATAGTACCCCCCAGAGGGTTTTTTTTAACGTTTTGTGTGTTACTTTTATTAAATATCATGTTCTTCTCATTTAAACCATAAAATTCAATTCAACAGCAATACCGCAAAATAATTTTAAAAATGAGCATATGTTTAGAATTTCTGATACACTGTCTCATGCGCTGGAGATGAAAATGTCTTTTCTGTACAACGTTGCTGTGCGATGTAGTGAGCGTTGTTTAGCGTAGTAAGAAATGAGATGCGTAATTAACAATATAATTTAATCATTTATTCTTTGCGAGAACAGAGACAGCGTTAATTCAGCGAATACATGTTGCGTTAGCGTTCTACTGCGTAGAAGAATAATGTTTCTCAGTTGCCAATTGTCAGGGACTAAACTTTACATTATTTCTCGTTGCCAGACGTAACAGATTAACATAATAAATGCACAATAACAAAAATGCGACTGGAAAGTGCTCCGTTAGCCAAACGATAAAGTTACAATTACGGAACATCCCGCCCGGCGTTGACATGTTACATTATTTCAAATTTAAAGGAAAAAGTATGAATACAAACATATAATGACACAACATACAACAAATACACCAATTAATAATTCAATTAAACAAAAAAAATTATCCAACACTAGAAATATTGTATCTATAATAGGTAAAATACAAATTTTCGAAATTGGTCTTCAGAAAACACCCTTTGGAGTACGTACGTCTACGACTCTGACATTTTCGTCAGAACCTGGGATCACCTTAATAATTCGACCTAAAGACCAATTGCAAATAGGAAGTTGAGAGTCTTTTAGTAAAATGAGCATGCCAGGAGTTATATTTGGCTTTTTAAGCACCTACTTAGAGCGTTGTTGCAGATGGCTTAGATAACTGTTTTGCCAGCATTTCCAAATGTTTTGAACTAATTTTTGAGTCCTCTGCCACCTACTTAGAAGATTATCTCTTGTATCGATTAAATTTGGTTCTGGTATGGCATTTATCGGTTTTCCTATCAGAAAATGTCCAGGAGTTAATGCTTGGAAATCGTCTGTATCAGTAGATAAGGGTGAGAGTGGCCGCGAATTGAGGATGGCCTCGATTTGAACTATTACTGTTAGAAATTCTTCTAAAGTTAACTTAGCGGAGCCTACGACTCTCTTTAGATGGTACTTGAAGGCCTTTACACCCGCCTCCCAAAGGCCGCCAAAATTGGGTGCTCTAGGAGGCAAAAATTTCCACCTGATACCTTCTGAGGCTAACAGGCTCGAAATGTCCTCACTGTTTAACATTAATTTATGCAAACGTTTTAACTCTGCGGAAGCTCCAGTGAAGTTCGTTGCGTTATCGCTAAAAATTATTGAACTCTTGCCGCGTCATGCAAAAAATCTCTTTAACTCTTTCGCATCGAGAGACGACCAAATCTGTTTTCAACAAACATCGAAAACGCCCGTGTTTACGAATTTGTCTTGGAATAGTTTTCCTTTCCCCCTTGCTGGTCTTGGAGGTTTTTCTGCGGTTTCTTCCATTGTGTGCAGTTTCACCTTAGGGCTGGATTGCACCTGCGAACGTCATTGCAACTGCGAACGTCAACAGCTTTCCGTATTTCTCCTTTATTTGCTTCAAAAGAATGATTGACATGTCTTTTAACAACTCGCAATTATACAATTCCAAATATGGCTATCCTGATGCCTATGTTTGAGTGGAGGACTAAGTTATTCAAAACTTGATGTCTCTAAGTACCATAGTTTTTTCACAGTGCGAGAAGCATACATTCATTCATGCAGATTCTTCATTGTTTAATTTATTTAAATATAATGTAGGGTTCTAATATTTGGTGGCAACAATGTGAAAAAGTTTTATAGTGGACGACGCAAAATGCCAAGACAAAATTAATATCCCTTCTGGTAAAATTGCATCTTTGGGCTAAAAATTATAAATTTTCACAGGACTAATAAAACTTAAAAGATTAAAAATCAGAACGTCATTAAACTTAAAAAATTAAGTATCAGAAAGTCATTTTTGCTTCATAAAAAAATTCTCCATTTGTTTATTTCAATTGTTTCTAATTACTTTTCGTAAAAAGAAAATTATTCTGCAAATACGTATTATTACAGTAAAGAACCCTTTTCATATTTTTTAACTGAACGCGCAAAAAGACGCATAAATGAGAAATTCGTAGGCTTTAAATTTCAGTTTAAGATATGACACATGTATTTCAGCTCTCATATCAATACTGCTACTAAGTACTTATTATTCTACTACTAATATACAAATTCAGCTTTATAAATCAGACTTTTCTCTAAGAAAACTATCTATTTTTCAGGAAAATCAAATATTTCGTTTCAGAGTAGTAACGATTTTAATTTTTCAATTCCTTATCTTGAACAAATGCTTTATTTTTTCTTCAACAAAATATCTTTAAATTTCAGCTGCTGTGTCTTTGTTTCTGAGACTTAAGTGAAGCCTTAGTGGTTCAAAAGACAAACAAAAACTCCAGTTAAAATTCGTTTATTAAATAACTCATCAGCAAATTAGTCTGCTCAGCATATTCTTTTGCTTCTGTCCTTCTGAACGAATTCCTTTCATCTGGCAGCTGGATTCAAACACTTGTCTAGCCTGAGATATTCTAAGTCTTCTTTTTTTTCTTCACGTACTAATATGCAGCTTCAAGATGTTTACTAAAAGAAGGAAAGAATTTTCGGATAAATTACTATACGAGTTTCGAAAAAACACATCAAAAAAATAATAATAGAAAAAAGCATCATATAACCAAAGTTAAGAGTCGTATAAATAAAATATTTTATTATTAACTTGAAGGAACATATCGGGACACAAATGAAACGACTTACTAATTGCAACAGACGCATAATTGAGAAAATTATAAATAGTGCTTCAGCATATTTCCATTTAAGTGGACAATCAAGTACAATCAAAACTTAAACAAAATACATTATAATGCTTCTATTATGAATGAAACACACCGCCGAACATGAAACTTAAATAATTTAAGACTGCGAGTTTTGCAGAGTTAATCGTAATTTTTTTAATAGAAAATTCATGACTTAATTTATAAGTTATTTTTCTCGCCTTCCGTGCCTTCGTGATTGCTCAATTTTCATCTTGCGTGCTTCCAATTAACCTAATGTCTCTACAATGGCGCCCGAAAACAAAAAAGGTATTGGATGATGGTTCTCCACACCCATGATTCGGCGATTGGTCCCCTAAAAACCCCAGTCGTCTTTTAAAAAGGGGAGTATATAAAGTATTTCTCCCGCTTTCCTAGCGTGCCTTCGTGGTGTGTTCTGCACGCTGGGCCGGTATTCCAGAGGTCCGTGGTTCGATTCCCGGCGAAGGCGATTGCTCATTTTTCATCTTGCCTGCTTCCAATTAACCTAATGTCTCTACAAATTTATTGTTAGCAAAAATATGATGGTTTCTTCTTCCGATTATGTAGGTAGATCTGTAATGTTTTAGGTCGAGACAGACAATACGCGCTAAAAAATAATTATTTGTTAGATATGTAACGATAATTTAATTCTTTCCGTCTCTTTTTGCCAATTCCCTCATTCCAGAAGTTATGCAGACCAGAAGTTGCAGAGTGGCAAGCAGGTTTACTATAAAGAGTTGAAAGCAGGTTTACTACTAATATACAAATTCAGCTTTATAAATCTACTACTAATATACAAATTCAGCTTTATAAATCAGACTTTTTCTAAGAAAACTATCTATTTTTCAGGAAAATCAAATATTTCGTTTCAAGAGTAGTAACGATTTTAATTTTTCAATTCCTTATCTTGAACAAATGCTTTATTTTTCTTCAACAAAATATCTTTAAATTTCAGCTGCTGTGTCTTTGTTTCTGAGACTTAAGTGAAGCCTTAGTGGTTCAAAAGACAAACAAAAACTCCAGTTAAAATTCGTTTATTAAATAACTCATCAGCAAATTAGTCTGCTCAGCATATTCTTTTGCTTCTGTCCTTCTGAACGAATTCCTTTCATCTGGCAGCTGGATTCAAACACTTGTCTAGCCTGAGATATTCTAAGTCTTCTTTTTTTTCTTCACGTACTAATATGCAGCTTCAAGATGTTACTAAAAGAAGGAAAGAATTTTCGGATAAATTACTATACGAGTTTCGAAAAAACACATCAAAAACAAATAAATAGAAAAAAGCATCATATAACCAAAGTTAAGAGTCGTATAAATAAAATATTTTATTATTAACTTGAAGGAACATATCGGGACACAAATGAAACGACTTACTAATTGCAACAGACGCATAATTGAGAAAATTATAAATAGTGCTTCAGCATATTTCCATTTAAGTGGACAATCAAGTACAATCAAAACTTAAACAAAATACATTATAATGCTTCTATTATGAATGAAACACACCGCCGAACATGAAACTTAAATAATTTAAGACTGCGAGTTTTGCAGAGTTAATCGTAATTTTTTTAATAGAAAATTCATGACTTAATTTATAAGTTATTTTTCTCGCCTTCCGTGCCTTCGTGATTGCTCAATTTTCATCTTGCGTGCTTCCAATTAACCTAATGTCTCTACAATGGCGCCCGAACAAAAAAGGTATTGGATGATGGTTCTCCACACCCATGATTCGGCGATTGGTCCCCTAAAAACCCCAGTCGTCTTTTAAAAAGGGGAGTATATAAAGTATTTCTCCCGCTTTCCTAGCGTGCCTTCGTGGTGTTCTGCACGCTGGGCCGGTATTCCAGAGGTCCGTGGTTCGATTCCCGGCGAAGGCGATTGCTCATTTTTCATCTTGCCTGCTTCCAATTAACCTAATGTCTCTACAAATTTATTGTTAGCAAAAATATGATGGTTTCTTCTTCCGATTATGTAGGTAGATCTGTAATGTTTTAGGTCGAGACAGACAATACGCGCTAAAAAA